CTCAAGCAGGCGGTAGCCCTTTGTGCCGTTTGTCGATGTAGCCGAGAGCGTGGGTGCTAGAGCCGTGGTCGAGGTAGCCGTGCGAAGAATGCCGTGGTCGGTGTCGAGTCAGGGTGGCCGGTGTCGAGGAACTCGCCGTGGAGCCGCAGGCACAAGGGGCGCCGAGTTAGCATGGGTGCAGTGGTGTCGAAGTAGTGGTGCGCCAGGGAGAAGACGGTGTTGACGAGGCGTCGCGTCGGGGTTGCCAAACCTGGGGACACATCATAGACGAAGGCACGCATCAGTGTTGCCAGCACCGGGCATGAGTAGACGGTTAAGACGAAGTTGACGAAGTGCCACACTAGGCTTGCCAGGCCCGGGAACACGTGGTGGACGAAGGCACGCATCGCTGTTGCCAACACCGGGCATGCATAGATGATGGACCTGCACGAGCTGTACGCCATGTCGAAGAAGTCGGAGGGGCCAGCAGAGAAGAACTCGACGACGATTGCGGCGTCCATCGGCGCGGGGCCGATGTCACCAACGATGGTCGGAGTAGACGAATTGGTCGGGGTAGATGACGGTGACGCTGGCGACGGGCTAGTGCTGGAAGAAGACGAACGGGGAGGACGGGCGGCGGCGGTGGCCAAGGAAGAGCGGCGGCGGCGGCCTGACAGCGGCGGCAGCTAGGTTAGGAGTGCGGCGGCGGTGTTCGGAGTAGGCGAAGAACCCTGACAGCATGACGAAGACCGGCGCGGACGGTGGCGTTTCCACCCCAAGGAAGACGGCGCGACGCATACCACAGGAAGTCGACGCGCGGGGACGGCGGAGTGGACCGCGGGCCGCGGCGCTACAGCCCGATGGGGCGACATAGCAGCGACGGACAGGTCGGGGCGACGGCAGGAAGACCTCGGGACGGCGGCGGGGACCGCGGGCCGCGGCGCTACGGCCCGAAGGGGCGGTGCAGCGGCGTAGCGCGGACCGGTGCAACCGTGGGGACGGCCTCGGGGCAACGGCTAGGACCGCGTATCGCGGCACTACGGCCAGTAGGGACGACGCAGCGGCAACGCACGAGTCAATGCAGTCGCGAGGAGAACCACGGGGCGGCGGCGCTTCGGCCCGACGGGGCGACGCAGCGGCAGCCCGTTGCTCGATCGGCAGAGGGGCGCGCTGAACTCGGGGATGCTCTTCACGGGACCTGCAGAGACGCGCGTAACCGACGGGTCAGGTCGGTCGCGCGGCGTACATAAGGCGGATCGCGGTAGCGAGCGGGTGATCAAGTCGATCGCGCGCGAGGTCGGGGACACCGCTCGATGGAGACGGGGTGGCGGCGGAGTCCGAGATGAAGCCGGCGATGATGGATGGCGTGGGACGACGAGCGAACGAGCGCGTCAGCACCGGCACCTGGGCCACCAAAGCAGCGAGGCCCGAGCGACCAACGGAGCAGCGGCGCCCGAGCTCAAGGCAGCCGGCGGGCCTAACGCGGCCGGCCCGATACAGCCGGGGACGAGGTCGGCGAGGTAACCCGCAGGGCCGCCGTGCAGACACGGCGGAGGCGGGTGGCGTGGATCAATTGGCGGGCCAACACGCGAGCAGCGGATATGATTGGCCGTCGGATGGCGCGAGGCCGCCGGGTGTAGGCGATGCAGGTGTCCCGATCGGAGCAGGGCGGTGATGGCCGGCGTAGGGCGACGGGCGGGCCGCGCGCAGACGACGGCCTTGAGGGGCCGCCTGTCGCGCGAGGCCGCCAGGTCGGTGAAGTAGTCGGCCGGGCGTGCCGGTGTCAGAGTGGAGGCGCGGGGTGTCGACGGCGGCAGTGGGCGACGCAAACCGATCCAGTGGATCGAAAAACCAAAAAGTAGACGCCGATCAAAGCGACCGGCGAGAGAGAGAAAAACCCGGATAAAAGCATCGGGAAAAAGACTCTCTAGGGCAGCCGGTCGACACGATCAGCGGACGAACCCTAGGTACGGGTGGCGCGGCCCCCAGCAACGGTCATAGAGGCCGACCGCCCCGGGGGCGGCGCGCGGGTGCGGAAGCGTCGACGGCTAGGGTTTAGAATCGAGATAATGCTGATACCATGTTAAAAGGGAGAGAGAGGATTGATGAAATAATTGATGTATTGCTTGAGCCTCGTGGGCATATAAATAGGAGTACATGATCTATTTGGAGCACAAACAAGCCAGAATACTTCCTAGTTTATCCTATGTTTCCTAATACAATCACGTTACTTAACAGAGACGATCATGGCCAACTTGTTGGCATTGTTTCTGAGCTTAATCTAAGACATGATGCAGCTACATTGGGACAACATTTAAACAATGCATGCAAGAGTCGATTGAGGACAAGCAACGGAGATCCATGGGAAAGAGACGACCGTGGCTGACTGGCTGGCATTGCTGGTGAGCTTAATCTAAGACATGATGCAGCTACATTGGGACAGCATTTAAACAATGCAAGAATCGATTGAGCAAAAGCAATGGAAATCCATAGAGAAGAGACGACTCGTGGCTGGTGAGCTTAATCTAAACATATGATGCAGCTACATAGCGACAACAGCTAAACAATACAAGAATAGATTAGGCAATGGAGATCCATCGTGGCTGACTGGATGTGGATGGCATTTCGCGCTGAGAGATGTAGCTGCTACACTTACGGACATGTGCTACGGATACATTGTTACGGACTGAATTGTAGCCGTCTCGTTGGAGATTAGCAGGGGAAGAGGGGCCACCAACGGAAATCAGGGGGGCAGAGATTGGCGGAGTCGGTTTCCGTGAAAACAATCCGTAAAATACATCCGGAAGTGTAGCATTTTCGTTGCGCGCTAGTAAGATATGCTGTTTTTATATTGCTTGACGTCCTACGTATATGCATTGTACTGCATCATACCAGACAGGACAAAAAGAAGCTGAGACGGCATCCAGAAGTTCTCTTCCTACTATATGTGTTGGTGATTCTGAAACAGCATCTAAGTGCCACGTTCTCTTCCTATTTCGGTAGGATAGAAAATGGCTGGATCAACTTTTAGTACTTGCACTGCCAAGAATATGCTCTCATGATTACGTGGATCTTGCTATTTCTGCAACTAGGCATCAGTGGACTGGAATTTTCAAAGCAGCAGAAGACGCGTTGGATACTGGATCTCTATTGGATGATCAAAACGTACGGGAAAAAAGTAATATGGGCCTCTCTCAACTACCAAATCTCAGATGATGATTTGGTTGATTATGGTGGAAACCTCTGTTCAAGATATCTTCCGATATTCCGATAAATCGGTCGATTTATCGCTTACCAGTGTCTGACCGATAAGATAAATCGGCCGATAAATTAGCCGATATGGCGATAAATCGGCCGATATGCCGATAAACTGGTCGATTTACCCCTTATCATGGGTCAACCGATAAGTTTCCGATAAGCGATATCCCCAACATTCGAAACCAACCCATCAAAATTAAAGAGCACGCGGATCATCGTTTGATTGTTTTCGTTTTCTCCTATGAGTGGTGCGGAGGGGAGCCGGTGCACGCATGCGCGTAAGGTGTACAATCTCTTCACGTCATGAGAAAACAGTGATGAAGAAAATATTTTGACGGTGCCAACGACCTTGAATATCCATCCATCGTGGTGGACCCTTTTTTAGGAAAAGGGGGATTAAACCCGGTCTTTGTATCAGAGTGATGCATGCAGCCCCTTTTTTAAGCAAAGTGATTGAAAAGTCTGTGATCCAGAACAACCTCGCTGAGAGCTGAAGGAAAATAAAAAAGTATAATATGCCACAACCGGCGAAAATAGGACGAGATGACTAAACACATATACTATTACTGGACCGCCATCCAAACCGGTTGTAGATATCCCGAACTATCATCTCTCATCTGGCAGACCCAGTAACCAAAAGCTCCCTGGCTTTCACAGGAATGAGTAACGACCACATCCGAATCCAAGCAGTGGCCCTGTAGATAACCTGCAAGAAAATAATACAAGTTTGTCTGTTAAAAACCATGTCATCTCTACAGTTTCATATAGCCCAAAGTAATGCACATACTCCTATCCCAATATGTCTCGTAATATTAGTCTCTACTCCATTTAACCACGTCACAAATAACATGTGAATACTATTTGGGGGTGGGATATTAAAGGCTATATGAACTGAGCCATAATAGTTTGGCTAGTGGAAAATCGAGAAAGAGGTGTTTGATGGTTTCATCATGATTACAAAAGCTACATCTTTGACTACCCTCCCAATTACATTTTGTCAAGTTATCCTTAGTCAGAACCACCTCCTTGTGAGCAAACCACATGAAGACTTTGATTCTTAATGGGACTTTGCTCTTCCAAATATGTATCGATTTTGGAATCAGAGCAGAATCAATTAGGTCCAAATACATAGATTTCACTGAGGAAATGTCATTCGTAGTTAATTTCCATTGAATATTATCAGGCTCATCAGAGAAGTTCACATCTATGAACCTTCTGACCAGTTGTAGCCATGCTTCCGATCGGTCTCCTACCAAAGATCTCCGGAGTTGAATATTTGAAGGGTTGGACTATAACACTGTAGCAATGTAAGTCTCCTTACGATGTACAATCTTATAGAGAGATGGATATTGTGTGGCTAAAGCTGTCTCCCCTAACCATATATCCTCCCAGAATCTCGTCGAATTACTGTTTCCAATGATGAATTTAGTTCTATCAAAGAAAACTGCTTTTGTTCTCATCAAGCCCTTCCAAACAGGTGAAGCATTGGCTCTAACAGTAACCTGGGTCAGGGTCCTAGATTGTAAGTACTTATTACGTAAAATTTGTAACCATGTGCCTTCGGTCTCCACAGAAAGCCTATACAACCATTTACTGAGTAGACATCTCTTCTTTACCTCTAAATTCTCAATCCCAAGACCACCCTGGTCCTTCGGCCTACAAATGAAGTCCCATTTAGTAAGCATGCGCTTTCTCTTTATTTCATCACTCTACCAGAAGAATCGTGATCTATAGAAGTCCAATCATTTTCGTACCCCTAAAGGTACCTCAAAGAAGGACAAGAGGAAGATCAACATACTCATGAACACTGAGTTTATTAGTATTAGCCGACCTCCGTATGACATAAGCTTGTCCTTCCAGTAGCTTAGTTTTTTTTCAAATCGATCTTCAATACACTTCCGCTCCATGTTAGATAGATCGCGATGGTGAATTGCTATGCCAAGATAACTAAACGGTAGGGTACCCGGTTCACATTTGAACAATTGTTTATAAGAATTTTGTTAATCTTTGACTCTCCCAAAACGAAAACAATTCGCTTTTGTTAAAATTAATCTTAAATCCTGACAGTTGTTCGAATAGGCATAGCACAAACTTCATATTTCTGGCCTTTGCCAAATCATATCCATCCTGGCGGACTGTGTAGCTAGGCAGGCAGGCTCAACGCAGGCAACCATGCTCTGAATTGGCGATCAAGGAATTACAATGGGATGAATCCGCTGGTTGGATCAAGACCCATAGCCGCTGGGAAGTAGATGGGATCTAAACACTTCGTTAGCCAAAATATATTATACGCGTCTCGGTCGATGCATGTTTATGCCACCATTATGTGATGCATGGGAATGAAGAACTGGCATTCGACCATTATCAGTAGTTGCTAGCATACTAACAAGAACTAATAACAAATGAACCCACAAAAAACAAAACAAAAAGCACCTGCTTAGGTGAAAATATTCAGATATGAACCAACCGAACATAAATTCAAGCAGCTGATTTTAAATGAGAGGCATCAATGTGTTGGTAAGATGACTTTGCAAGCATTGACCAATATAGTGTGTTCCATTTTTAAGCATAGACTAGCAAATATGCCTGTTCGTTGCAACAACAGGGGTGACAAAAATATCCGGTAATGTATCAATTCTAATATTAGTTGATATGATCCAGGATTGACCAGTTTGTGTAGCATGCAATTTGTGCATATGGATCTTGAACTTTGGTGGCTACAGCTATTTCCTGGACTCTATGGCTCCGAAAAGCTTTATTCCACCTATCATGGCTGCCAAAAAAATTGCAGACAATGTTCAAGTGTAGACGCATAGAACTCGTGGGGCAGTTTCTTTTGTTGTTTCTTTCCTCTTTCTTTTTCTTTTGTCTCCTACCGTCTCCATCTTTGTAGTTGTATACTCTTCCCATTGTGTGTGTAAAAATTGTGTTGGACAAGGTTCTCCATGCATGTCATCCGTTTCTAATGAAAAGGTAGGGGCCTCCCCTCATGAAGTTGCTGAAAGAATACTATGTATGTAGCAACATAGCTGAGCATTATGTGCTCTAGTATGATATGAGTTAGAAAATTTGTCCATCGCCTCTATTATACATCGATGTTATATCGTCAAAACAAAATTCTAGTATTATGAAACCTTCGGTTCATACATATTTTTATCAATGAAGATTCAAACCATAAATTCAATTAATGCATTACAAATGAAGATACGTCAAACAAGCACTCATGCAGATAACAAGCTGTAATTTATTAATATATTCGACACCTTACATATATATGATCTTCAATAAAAGCATTTATTCCAATTCATTTGCTATGGTACAAGCAAATTATTCATAACAGCTTTCTCTCAATAAAAAGGTGCACGCTGAGGGATCCCCTTTCGGCGGTGACGAATAACCCTTGGTGGAGATGGTCTTTCGTTGCAATAATCTGCATCGCTGCAACTCTCTTCATTGTTTCCAGTATTTCCACTTGTGGTACTGCAATCTGTATCATCATCCTTTCTTGTATAGTCAATAATATCTCTAGTTGGAATGCTTGTCCTCATATCCTCTTTGATTGCTTTAAGCTGCCAAGAAAATGTCCAGTCAAAAATAAGTAAACACTAAAGGAACCAATTCCATGGGGTAACTTTTCAATAGTTATACATTAGCTTAGTAGCTTACGTTGCAACCCAGGGAGCAGAAGCGGAATGGGTCAAGAAGAGCACGATTGCAACTCTCACAATTGTATGATGATGATGATGATGCCTTGACCACAGAAACACCACAACCACGTTGTTGTGGGCGCTCATTAAGAAATACAACCGTTGCACTGTTGATCACATATGTTTGTACATCACTGATATCAAGTACATCTTTTAACTCGGCAACCCTGACCACATCATGGTATGATGACCGCCTTATCTACAAGATTTCATAAGTTAATTCGTGTTAGTCATGACACAAAGGTATATCGATCCACTTTTTCACTAAAGATAATACATGTGTGATGATAAGTAGCTTTTTAGATGATCACTTACACTAAGTACTTTTTGACATATGTTCTATAAATATGATGTAAAACTACTCTTGCATAATCTCTATTACTAAATCGTAACGTTGTACACCATACCTGGATTACTCGATGGGTAGAATGATGGTGTGAACAGCAATAATAGCATAAGGCAGCCTTTGATTCCTCACAATCTATGCAAAACAGGTTACACTCATTGCGAGTAGAGGAGAGATGGTTGGTGCATATTGCAAAGAACTGTGTTGCAAGCAGTAGCTCTAGCCATGTAGGCACCGTCCCCCCCTTCATTGCAAAAACAAAGATGCTTTGCACTTGGACTACTATGTGTTGTGCTTAGTAAGGGGTGGTATGGAGTACCTTTATAGTGTGATCTTGGCAGTAAAACAACTGGCGCACATAGTTTGTTGCGGAATTTGTGGGGCTAAAAACTGACATCTAGTCCAGAAAGGCAGGCCCACATATCTTTTGTCAATTAATGGGTGCTTAGGTTAGGGACAACCAAGCATTTGGCGTCTCTCCATTTCAATGGATGGTTCTCCATTCTTCTTAGTACATCTAGGAATACATTTCATGCGCACACAAAAAATCTTTAATGAGGACAATTAAATATTCATTATTTCCATGACACAAATGCCAAAAGGGTAGTCACCAAGCATAAGGGTAGTCACCAAGCATAATGCTAAAAGGTCACGAAAAAACAATGAGAATTTCTGCAGGAAGATGAATGGCTTGGCTGGATCATTGAGCCAGCACATGATTAGTTGTATGGGTCAAATATTCTGAGATACGATATATAAATACTAGAAATTATATGGCCCACATAAATACTAATCCAACTGTGAAAATAAATTGCAGATGAAACAAAAGATTTGATCTACAAAATATATTATTATTACTACGGGAATCACCTTTAAATGTGCCCATTTTATCATTTTGTTGTGTGTGCTTCCTATGTGCTTCTAGCATGGTTGCTTTTACATGAAACACCTGATTTTTACATGCTATGCGCTTTGTGTGTGAGAGAGATGGTAGTCCGACGCTCGACGCAACATGCCACTAAATGGGCGCATACCATCGCACTAAGACACAGTTCGCTTTGGGACCTGTTCACTGATTTTGCTGTTGTTTTCTGTTCACGGCTTTTCTCGCTCAGTTTGGGCCTTTTCTCGTTGATTCCCTATTCACTGATTTTGCTGCAACTTTTCTGTTGGTGTTCTGTTATGGTTTTGTTTTTGTTTTTGTTTTCAGTTTTTTCTTTTTATTTTATTTGTTTTTTACTGTATTTTTTATACTTGATGAATAAAATTTTAATGCAAGGTGATTAAAAAAATAGTGAATATTTTTTTGAATATAGACTGATTTTTTTAATATACATAGAAAAATTTATATATGATAACATGTTTTAATTTACACAACAGACATTTTTAAATATAGGATGAACTTTCAAAGATATACGATGAATGTTTTCTTAATATACACTAACTTTTTAAGAAAAGACACTGAACAATTTTCTAAAATTTTTTACTTATTTATAATAGGTTTTAAACATATATTTCCAGAAAAAACAACAGTCATTTGTTTTCAGAAAACAAGCTAAACCAAAAATAAATAAATAAGCACGCTCATGAACAGTGTGGGCTGGCCCATTTGCCCTGGCTTTTTAGGCGGAGCCTCTCCTATTTTACGCAGATGAAGGTTGGTTTGCTAAAAAAATATTTGCAACATTCGAATAAGCAAACTAGGCCACCCTCAAAAATAAAACTGCACCCTAAAAAATCCACCCAAACAGCTTTCCCCGTCAAATCCAAATTTTTTCAAACCGGAGCATAAGGAACTTGTCGAACATCTGCATGAGTGTGACAACAATCAATGGTTGGTGGTGAAAAGTACACTGCATGGTGTCCGAACAAGAGGGAAAGGAGGCTTGGATGGCTGTCTCCTACACAATATGGTACATCTGGAAGAAACTTTCCAGGAACGAAATTGGAGGACTTTGGAAACCAAATCCTGCAACCCAATGGCAATCTTCTAGGTAATATAAGCCTCCACCAAGATGCCTCGAGAGAGTATCTCTTTCTGTGATTTCGCAGGAGGATGTGATGTAAATAGTGTGAACATGTTTCATGTTCTTTGCGTAGGTTTAGATCCCTTCTTATAAACTAAATCTTACCAGACGGAAGTACAAAATAATTTTGTGAATACGCAAAGTTTGCGCTTTTCACTATCAGGAGGAATAGAGTAGTACCATTACAAGGAAAAGTGATCCGCAAGAGCGCATAGACACGAACAGAGCGAGCAGAGACGGAATGGGGATACTTAGCCCCGAGTCATGCACACACTAGCCCGCCGCAAGAATGTTGCTTAATCCAATAGCACCCGCAGGTGCCCAAAGCCTGACATCCTCCTTTTTTTGCGAAAGGGCGTAGATCTCTTGCAAAGATTCATGATAAGTACAAAGCACCATAAACATTAAAAAAATTGTAACGAGGTCAATGAATCGCCGAACAAACGCTACCATTGCCAGAACAAACCACCCACGCGTCGTTATCATCGCTCCCATATCGGAGTTAGCAAGAACTTGTCATTGACAATTGGGAAGTCTTCGTCTGGCATCCTCCTTGATGAAGCACAAGTCGAATGTACGGTCCCCCTACTCAATTGAACAACAGAGCTCCTAGTGTTTGCGGTCCAAAAACTACTATAACAAGATGATGCCCCGTGCATTTCTGCACGAACCTTGCTTAAAAATGCATAAGTATTTACCACAAAAGCATCTAAAACTATTGGAAATCAAATGTTAGCTTAAAAATAAATAATTAAAATGAAACGTCTAAAAGGAGAAAATAAATTGCAACTAAAAGAATATCATTTCCAGCAGAATGTGAAGGATGAACTCTAATGCAAAAATTACTTACAACTAGCATGCATGAATTGATGATGTGGCACCTTTGCATGCATAGAGTAATGCAAAAAATGTAATTGCATATATGACTTGATTAAGTGGCAGTTGCATGGCTAGGAAAAATAGGCAATGGGTTGTAGCTATTTAGGAATAGAAGATACATTCTCAAGAGCAAGCCACAATACTTGCCTGTCATTTTCATGAAGACTTGTAAAAGAGTTGTACATACAGGATGGTTGATACAACAACACAAGACATGAGATAGACAACCCGTTTCAGAAATTGTATATAAATTGAACTGCAAAAACGTCTTATATTTAGTTACAAAGGGAATACACTCTTTCGTGGTAGGAGTAACCTGAATCGGTATGCATCGGGGCGGACCGAACTACGGTTTCAACATAAAACCTGTTTTACAAATTACCCCCATATATACATATGAGTTTTCCTTGGTGAAAGGAGAGTGCGTATGCCTGGCAATAATGAACGTAAAGAAGACATCTGCTAATTGCATCACTAGTCACTACAGTACTACTAACTACGTACTCGGTGGATCGATACAGTGAAAGCTAAGCTTTTGCATTGAGGAACCATGCATGCCAAGAGGGTGAGCACCATGGAAGGTCGACACCATGCACTGGCGAAGGCAAGAATAATTTTCAGGTGTGACGGAGTTTACGAAGGAGGGAACCATGTATAATATGACTATGTGAGAGCTCAAATACCTTCAACAAATACAACACAAATATAGAAATTAAGTATTGGCACTCAAAATACCTCATGAGATGAGGATTATATGGATGACCACTTAGATCCCGGTCTTGGATGGTCAGATCCGGTGAAAATGATGCTTGAGCGTTGCTCCCTTCTTGAAGGCATTGTTGTTGAAGTACCTCGTCGTCTGTGTGGGTCATGAGTTAGTTGGTGCGAATATGGTGAGTTTGCCGGTCGCGGATCTAATTGGTTTGGTGCTTTTTCCTTTTTCCACGCATACGCATAGCTATGGTCATATACGACTTTGCTATTTGCCAGTATGTTTTGTGTGTGGGTTAGTGTTGGTTTTGTGCATTTTGGCTATGCAGAGATAGGGTGCGTGCTCATTGCGTTTGTATCTTCTTGATGCTTCATTTTAAGCCAATAAAATCCCCCATTTGTCAAAAAAAAAAAACTTATGACCGGTCTAAACCTCGCCAGATGGCCTCGCCACTGACACCATGCATCTTCAAGCAGCCGTCCCCGAGATCATACTCCCAAACACCATGCATGCGGCCGGGAATCGTCTTCAGCCAACGGCTCCGGCGTGCGCACGCCGTAACGGCGTCGTGCGTTCGTCTCTACGAATTCGCTGCAACCGATCCTTCGACCTACACCTTCCCGGCCGCACGTCTTCCGAGTCCATTAACTGCTGCAACCCATGGACCGCCGTCTTCTCGTCTTCTGAGAGTCTCCATTAACGAGGCACGCACCGCTGAACGAAGCGGCTCGATGGTGTAGTTCGCCGTCCGTGTATGCATGCGTGCGCGCGCTCCGTATAAAATGAGAGGCATTGCTTATCCAAACGCCACAAGCCACACACCGAGCCCCCCGGCATCGGCGCACGCACGGTCGGTCGGTCATGGCGGACTGGTCGGCTCTTCCGGCGGACCTCGTCCGCAGCGTCGCCGACCGCCTGCTCGCCGCCGCGGGCGACGTCGACTACTACATGGGCATGCGCGCCGTCTGCCACAGCTGGCGCCTGGCCATAGCCGATCCATGCGGCGGTGCTGGCCTCCACCGTTTCCGTCCCCGGCACTGGATCATGCTGGACGACGCCGCGGAGCAGCAGCCGGTCCATGACGAGGGAGGTGTCCGCCTCTTCCTCAACGTCGCCACCGGCCGCGTCCTCCGCCTGCGCGTCCCGCTGCTCCGGGACCACGTCCTCGTCGCCGCCTCCGACGGCCTCCTCGTCCTCGGCGACAAGAAGTATCCGCACCGAGCCAGCGTCCTCAACCCTTTCACGGGCTCCTTGGTCCGCTTCGTCGCCGCCATACCCCGCGTGAACCGGGTGCGAGCAGTGGTGACCGGCTCCGAGGACGACCGGTCCCTCTCGCTTGTCTTCTCCTTCTACCACGACCCCTGCAGCGACGCTATCACGTGCGCGCACCCGACAGCCGCCCGACTCTCGCCGGTGCAGCTCCCATACTACGTCGGTGCCGGCCCCTTCTACAGCTTGAAGCAAGAGAACATGGTCGCCTACCGAGGACACGTCTACGTGGCCTACCGCGACGGGCTGATTGTCAGGTTTGTCGCCCCGTCGGCGCAGCACCACCAGCACTGCCATGCCAAGCTCATAGTCTCGGCCGTACCTTCATCGGATTACACCGGCCGCTTCGGCCGAGCTTTTCTC